AGCATCGCGTACCTGGGCGGGTCCCGGGCGGGCTGCTGCAGCAGCTGCACTTGGGAGGGCACCACGCTGAGGATGTGGTCCTCCCCGGCCAGGCCGCACTTGGTGAAGCCGGAGCCTGTGTCGATCACCACGGCCGCCGAGCTCTGGAAGTGGCCCGGCGAAAGCCCGGGGGACTGCCCCGGCAGAGCAGAGTAGGCCCCGCTGAGCAGGCCAAGGCTCGTGACCACCGGCGAGTCGGTAATGCCCTCCGCTGTCAGCTTGAGCCCGGGGCCCTGGGACACAGTGCCCACCATGGCCATGGGCAAGACCTTGTAGCTGGTGCCAGGTGTGGTGAATGTGACCAGGGAGAGCTGCTCCTCGGGGGCCATGTGAGAGCTGCCGGGTGGCCAGGAGGAGAGCCAATGGGAGTTGGAGGTGGGAGGGGCACTGAGGCCCACCGTTTCTCTGCTCACATAGACACAGGTCTTTTCCTGGGCCAGGGGCACCCGAAGTATCCCCACGTGGGTGGGCAGACCCAAGGCCTCCCCTTCCTGGCACGGGGTGGGGGCCTGGCCAGCCTCCCTGGTGGAGGGGGCGCCTCTTGAGAGGATGGGCTCTTTGGAGATGGTGGGCTCTTGGCAAAAGGCAGGCTGCCCAGTGAGAGAGAGTTGCCTGGCGAGAGGGGTTCCAGGGAGAGAGGGCTGGCCAGGAAAGGGGTGCAGCTCAGCAGAGGGAGGCTGACCCGCTGCAGGGGGCTGTCCAGAGAGGGGGTGCTGCTCAGCGAGCCGGGGCCAACCGCTGAGGGGGGCCTGCCTAGTCCCTTCAGCCCTGGCCTCCTCCCGGGTGTGGCTGCCTGTATCCGCCAGGAGCAGGGCTCTGGCTGCCTCCTGGGCTGTGGCTGGGGGGGCGGGCTCTGGGGTCACCGGCAGCCTCCCGGCCTGGCCCGCAGAGGCATTCTGCATCCAGATGGCGTGAGTGGGTTCGCTTTGTTCAGCTGCAGGTTTGGACCAGCCAGGATCCTGGACGCGGCTCAGTGTCCTCTCTCCGAACTGGAGGGGCCCTTGCAGTGGAAGGGGCGCAGGGAGCAGGCTCACCCTGATGGGTGTCTCGGTACCAGGGGAGTCCCGTGACTCCAGGTTGAGCTTGGCTTCCTTGGGAGCCAGGGCCACCTCGCGGAAGCTGCCAGAGGAGAGGCTGGAAGGCACAGGGCTGGAGGGCACGGGGCTGGACAGCACCGACGAGATGGGCCCGAAGCTGGGGCGATCGCGGTTAGGGGAGGCGGTGAGCACGGCCCATGGCCGGGTGGAAGGCATATTCTCAGGGGCATAAATGGGCGGGGGGTTGGGCACGAGGCCCACCAGTACCGCCCGTGAGCCCAGGGGGTCCTGGCACAGCAGTCCCAGCCTGGTGTTGCCCGTGTCCATGTCAAACACCAGCACGTGGCCTTCCGCAGGGTCCTGGAGCTGGCAGGTGGGGGCGCTGGAGGCGGGCCTCTGCGTGGCTTCCCCGGGAGGCTGGGCCGGGAGCTGCCCACAGCAGGTCACTTGGCAGGCGGGGGGTGGTGCCCTGGCGCAGGTGCGGCTGCAGACCCTGAGGGGCTGCCGTTCTGGCTGCGAGCTGACCTCCTGGTGGCCCCTCTGGGACGTGGGGGTGCCCGGCCTTCCTGGGACTGATGTGGGGCAGTCTAGGTTAAAGGTATAGAACAGCGGCTTCTCTGCTGGAGTCTCAGGCTGCTTCGGTAGCACCGGCCTTCTGGCAGCTTCGAGCTCGGGGGTGTGGTCTCTCAGAGTGGCTCCTGGGGTGGGCAGCGGCTGAGAACCAAAGATCACGTTGTCCTGGCAGAATGTGACCACCTTGGAAGTCCCCAAGAGGCCTGGCCACTGGTTGCCACTCTCCCTGGGCAGGTCCCGGGACAAGTCCTTGGCAGTGGCGAGGCTCCCGGGCAGGTGGTCGCGGCTGCAGGTGTTACGTGCCACTGCTGCCGGCGTGAGGGTTGTCGGCAGAGCCGGAGGTGCCTGAGCCGGCCACCGGCACCGACCCTGATCTTGGGCTGGAGCGTGAGGAGGACCTAGGGCTGCAGCCGAGCCAATCTCCCCTGAAAGGAAACAGGGGGCCTGCTGGCTCCTTGCCAGGCCCCAGGGGGCTTTCTGGTGGGTGCCGCGGGGGCCTTTGCCCCAGCCTACCAGGACTTTAGCCGGAGCCTTGCGCTCCCTCGCACCCTGCACCTGAAGCCAGGAGCTGTGGCCCCCGAGCTGGGCCAAGCCATCGGAGCTGTCCCTGGGCGTGCCCCGGGGCCGGGGCAGGATCTCATTTTCCAGGACGAGATGCACTTGGGCTTCCACGACGGGGCTGGGACGCTGGCCGGTGGAGGAGAGTCTCGGGGTGTCCTGGGAGGCCTGCTCCGAGCCACACTGTGCGCCACCCTCAGCGTGGCCCCAGGGGAGCTGGTGAACAGGCCTGGGACCGGGGGCCTGGGAGGCTGGGCCACAGGCCCCGTCAGTGACGGCCTCGGGGGACCATGACAGCCGCTGCCTAAAGCATATGGTCCCCGAGTTGATCCACGGTCCCTGAGACTCCCTGAGGCCACCCCCCAACAGCTGCTGGCTCCTGGCTGAGGGGTGGCCCTGGGGATCCGATGGCTCAGGGTCCCCCACCTGCTTGGTGACTTCCATAGTCCTGCTCCATGCCTAGGGCCCCGCCCCCACTTTACTGCCATGACGATCCCACACATCACAGCCCCCAGTGACCTGGGTGGGGGTGACAGAGTGGGAAACCAGGGGCCCCACCCGCCTGGGGAGACAGAAAGGCCCAGGTCGCCCAGGAAAGCCTGCCGGGCCCTGGCCGCTCCTCTCTCCTCCCAGCCAGGGGCCTCTCTGCTCAGGCGGTGGTGCCGGTGCTGGAAGAGGGCAGTGCCTGGGAGCGGGAGGGCAGGGGAAGGCCCAAGGAGGAAGGCGGGCGGGGAGACACTGAGGCAGCCCAGGCTCCCCGTCCACCTCCCAGGCACAACGGGCCTTCCTTTCCCCTCATTTCCCAAGTGGCCACCTGAGACGGAGCCCTGACCCCCGCTGCAGTTCTAGGTGTGACAGAGGCCCCTTGCCCACCCAGCCCTGGAGGCAGGGGAGGGGGAGGGTCCAGGCCCAGCCCAGGCTCCCCAGGTTCTCGCGCCCACTCCAGGGCAGATGCTCCTTGGCAGTGGCTCTGCTCCAGATGGCTCCCCTCTGTCTGTGCCTCAGTGCCCCCACCCAGAGCCACATCTGTGAAACCTGGGGCTGGGATCCCGCAGAGTTGGGGGTGGGGACCACAGGGCCCTGGGGGCAGGGCCTCGGCTCAGAATTCTCAAGTCCCAGTGTTCTAGCTCTTGTCACATTGTGTCAGCTTCCCCGTGGTGGCCGGAGGGGGCTTGGAGCACTGGGTGCAGGGCGAGGTCACAGTGGACACGGGCCAGCCAAGTGCAACGACAAGGGGGGCACAGTAAGGACTTCGTGGTTACAGAGCCCTCCACACAGCGCACACAGGGTGGTGCACAGCAGGGCATGGGGGGTGCAGGGCTGCGCACACAGTGGGCACAGCTGCCTACACGGGGCGGGCGAGTCGGACAAAGGACTGGACGTAGGGCGGGCACCTAGGAAATGCGGGGGCAGCTCCACTCTCCATTTCTTAGATGGGCAAACAGAGGGCCCGGGAGGATGGGACCTGCCTAGACCGCCAGCCCAGGCCCCACGTGCCTGCGACCCTGGAGGACAGGCCTAGGGGGACCTCTGGGGAGCTGCTCACGGCCAGAGGCCTGCTCCTGGAGGTTCTGTCCCCCACCTAAGAGCTCCGGGCCTCCTCCCTCTGTCCGTCCAGCGCTGGGTCCTCTCAGGCCTCAGTCTTTCTGCCCAGGAAACAGGTTTGTGGAGAAGGCAGCTCAGGCTTGGCCTCTGATGCCGTGTGTTTTCACAGAAGTTAAAAATAGTGCTTACAGTTGGCCGTGGGGTGTGACGCGGTGTGACCGGGACCAAGGCTAGCACTGAGCTGTGCCTGCAGCTTCCTGACTCAGGGGCAGAGGCTGACACAGCCGGGTCCCAGCCCCGGGGCCTCACCCTTCACACACACACACACACACACACATACACACTGAACACGGTTGACTTCATTCATCTCTGACCCCAAGGAAACTACTTTTGGGGGGTTGGTTTTCCCACAACAGAGATGCTAGGACTGGTGCAGCCCTTGGGGTGGGCTGCACTGGGAGGCGGGAGGCGGGGCGGGAGGCCCCGGGAGCCCCCTGAGCGTCTGTCCCACCCTGGGGGAGGGAAGCCACCAGGTCTCGCTCCTGAGCGGCAGCCCTACCCCAGCGGGTGTCCCCCAGCGGCCTGCCCCTCCTCCCAGCTCAGCAGGTGGCCCGGCCTGGGAGGGGCATTTCCCGTTGGCACCACGAAGCCAGTGCCCTCCCGGGAACCTGGCCGTGCTGACTAGGGGCTAGTGCTAGCTACACACCGAGAGGCCAGGCGAGTCCTTTGTA